TAATTTGGGAAATGATGGATGCCCCGGCTCAATGACCGGGGCAGTGACAGGGCGCCGAGGTGGCGCCCTGTTATTGGAGGTGGGGCTGACTTCGGTCAGCTCCCCCTCCAATTGTGTGGTGCCACCTCGGCACCTGGATATTGGCCCGGTCATTGAGCCGGGCCATCTAGATTGGTTCACGACATATGGAAAGCAATCTGGGGTCTGCCTCGAGAAGGATTTCCTAATGCCATCAACCAATCAAATTTTTCCATCTATTGTTGTTCAATCAGGCGATAAGTATAAACACAGCATGTTGTTCGAGTTCTCAGCCGAGACCTACATTAAATTTTAATTTCCCCTTTTCTCCCTCTATTATGAAGATTTTTGATGAAAATAATGTAAGAGTACTTTTGATAAGTCTATGATTTTTGAACAGAAACTTCTGATTAACCTTCTGAATTTTTAAACACAAGAATTTTCAATGGAAAGACGAATGCCATTTTCGTTAATAGCTTGTTCCGAGATAGAGGCACCTATAAACTAGCCTCAAGTTTGCCCCCTTATCTGCTATGAGTGGATCTCGTCGATCTGTTATCTTGATCAAATTGATAGAGAATAAGAAAATAAGCTCCTTCTATGGGAAGCCTATGAATCTCCAGCTAGTCATCCTTCCTATAGTATGACCTTCTTAAGCATCATTCTTTAACTCATACATTCATCGATCTTTGTTTGCAAGTACGGTTACTCTATCCGAAAGTAAGATTTTCCTTTAACGACCTAGGATTGCAAAGATTGTGATGCTGTGAAACTCATACAGGAATTCAAAAACCATCTTGCTAACCGCCCTTATCCTGCAAAGAGAACAAGTTCTTCCTTGACGTGCCAAAGCCCCTTATAATGTCAAATTGGATGCTTCCACTACCCCCGTGACTCCTATTGCTATTATGACTATTTACCTTTTAGGTACCACCTAATCCATACTGCTTACCTTCCTTCTAGATATGAAAATATCTGAGACTTCGTTCCAAGAATGAAGTTCCTAAATAAGAAGAGAAGGGATGGATGGCCGGCCCATGAGGAGGACTAGTTATACTCTTAACACAAGCAAATTGATGATCCTATAAAACTTTTTTTTTTTTGAGGTAGCGGCTTACTCTTATTAATAGAACCTCACTTGTGGCGGAAGAATACCGTGATTACATACTTGATTGTTGACACTACACCAAAAACAAACTATATCTGCTAAACGACAAACGATTAAAACATGTAACGATAAACAAGCTAAACATGACTAATGAGAAAAACAAATAAAACAAACAAACCAAGCCTATCAACATGCCAAAAAACACAAATAAATCAACTACGAATATAAACTACTCCAAGTTGATGATCCTATACTTAGCAAAGTAAATTCTCTCCTGAAGGAACTGGCAAAACTCAAGACACTATAGTAGAAATTTCAATCAACTCAAATACAAAAACAATTTTTATGTCTGAGTATTACAGAGTTGGTTAATGTCAAGCTTTATGCATAGTCACCATACTCAACCTGGTCGATGTATTGAGTCATTAGGTCATTTCCACTTAATTTCCCCAAAAAAAAAAAAAAAATTGA